TATGCTATATTTAGTATAATGTCAATGTTATTTCCTTTGCAAATACATTTTGAGGCTGTGAGAAAAATATAAGCCATAAATAATAGTAAATTAAAAACAAAACATAGGCACACACAGGACTAAAAACATTAGGGGAAAGGAAAACAGGAGCAGCATCAAAAAACTATTCATCCAACTATCACTCAGACAAAGTAAGCAAAACAAAACAAAACAATAAGATAAATTAGTCCCTGCGGATTTTACTCCATTAGTTGTTGCTGATTATAGGGGGCAATGCTCATCTCCATTTCAAGGCCACTGAGTCAGTGCTGCCCGAAGACACATCCATGGTTATGTGGACAGCATGACATCATAGAGTGCTGTTACCTTCCCACCAAATTGGTTCCTATTTATCTACTTGCATTTGCATGCTTTCGAATTGCTAAGTTGGCAGGATCTGTGGCGAGAATGGGAGCTGACCCCGTCATGTGGAATTCGGTCTCGAACCTGGGCTGCTGGCTTTCTGCCAGCTTCTTAACTAGTCAGCACTCAGAGAAGAACTGGGTAAATTGTTTTTAAGAGATATGTAATAAAGATAACCATGGGCACCTCACACATTTCAAAAGGCAGAACATTCCAGGATGTATGAATGCTCTGAAAAGTCACTCAATAGTGACCAAAAATTATGTTCTGTGATTTAAAGGACCTTCTCAAAGTTCTCAATATTAAAAAGATCTATAATGGTGAAGGCATTTCATTAGGTATTTTGTTCCCCAAATTATTCCAGTCCTTCCATGTTATAAGCAAAGCCATACATGTGTTTCAGTAGCTAATTGGCATCCAATCTTTAGTGCTTCATTAGAAGTGTGTAATATGTATCTGGGGACATGTATTATGTCACATTCTGAACTGCTACTACTTCCAGTTTAAGTATTCTGCAGTAAACAAAGTATGATGTTGCCATTACATGGATAAACCTGGATCTAATATACTCAGTAAAATGGTTGGATTATAATTCAACAGAATAGATTTCAAGATACATTGAATAATAAATTTATAACTATTAAGGATTTTAAAAAGCAAAGTAAATTACTTGTTCCTGGAAGAGTGTTATTTCATTCAGTAAGTTAGCTTGCTATACACATGTAGGCAGCAAATTTTAATTCATTGCATATTTTTATTTTTATATGCACATTTTTAAGAATTATAATTCCACAGGATTTCCACAACTCAGTGATTCCAAAAGTTGTGTTCACTGGGAAAGGATTGTTCATGTATTAGATGACAGATTCCATAAGCTAACTGACAGTTGCTTCTGTACAAGACATTTTTCATGTCTTTTTATCTGCTTTTAATAAAGTACCATTTATACTGCCTCTCCCTATGGGTTGCATCTTTCTGATCTTCTTTTCTGTTCTGTTGCCAAACTCTTTGTTCTTCAGCATCTTTTTGATTCAGTTATAACTGCTTTGAAGTTCTATGTTTTAATTCAGAAAAGCTAAGTCAAAATTCTGTAATGAATTGAACCTAATTTTTAAAAATAGAAACACAAACTTGAAAGCCTCGGCAATCCTTTTGTAGTGCTATTCATATACAGTAGTAGAAATCAGAATCAGAATATCACACTTCACACATCAAAATAAGCAGAGACCAATGCTTTGTGGTCTTCAGCACAGCTGGTATTCTGTAGGTATAACTTTTATATATTTGTAACATAATATTAATAACATAACAACCACATAATTATGCAATTGTTACTGGACAAGGACACTGCAGTTTCTCAGGAACATCTACACTTGAGTAGGTAATCACCCTGTCTGAAAGAAACAGTACATGCAACAAGTAACAGAACATGATACTTGAACTCAATTTCAGATTTCAAAACTTAAAACAACAGAACTATAGACAGCCTGCCAAACTCATCATCAAAGCATCAGAAGATTTCAGATTATCTCAGGTCTTCACAAACAGAATGTGTTTTTTACACAAATATAAGTGTTCTATACATCCGCTCACCATGAAAATGGCAGCTTAATGAACAAATGCTTAACCCTGGCTTGAGGGAAAGAAAACACTGATGATGCATCTATCTTAATTTCAGAAAGAAATTGGATGGTTCAACTATAGACAAGCAGTTGAAGGTAGGAATGGAAGAGAAACTACTCCCAAATAGAGAGTATTATAAAAGAGGTGAAGCCTTACAACAAAACCTCCAAACAGAATAAATATGCCAGTAATAATGGGTTTCATATGGAAAATGAGTTTTCTTATATAGAGAAATGTTGGAAGAAGATACAGTTTGGAGATGGGAAGGTTTCTGGATAGTAATAACTCTAGTAGATGAGATATTCTACAAGCGATTATCAGATTAATAGAGATGTTTGGAAAAATATAATGAATGGAGAACAGAATTACAATGGCCAATGTGCCAAGTAGTTATGGAACACACACACACACACACACACACACACTGAAAAAAAGTGTGTAGGAAAGTCAAAAACTAAGTCCAACCACCAGGACATGCATTCATGTTCCTGGATTAGGTTGGTATTGTGAATATTTTTGACACAAATCATTAATTCAAGTCCAAGGAGAGTTTTGTGTGTGTGTGTGTACATACATACATACACATACATATGTATAAACAAGCTAGCTGTTACATCATAATGTGCAAACTGTTGTCTGAATTCAACTGCTTTCCTTGACATGAGGCAGAGTTAAATGGAAGCAGTGTTGTTGTTGTTGTTAATTGCGAAGTCGTGTCCGACCCATCGCCACTGATCAATTAAGCTGAAGATGTATTAGCAAGAGCCTCATTACTGCAATGATGGTTACTATTGTGACTCCCACTCCTCACAACTGTCACTGTTCCAACATAAGGAACTGAACAGAAAGCATGGAAGTGGTGCCAAGATATATATATATATATTAGTATTCTGTTTTCTCCAATCTTTAATTTTCCATCTTGACAGATGCATTCTGAAAATAACTATAGTCATTTATGGAGAAAATAATCTAGCTACTATAGATGTTTTATTGTTATTAACAAAAATAAAGCAGTAGCTACCTGCTATTAGGAAATCCACCAACCATATTACTATGGTCAGTGGTCTATTTAGTATCTAGTTTACCAAAGAAAAAAAATAAAAACAAGACTGGAAAAAGAAATGTAATTAACTTGCTGATAGGTAATTTGTGGAGTCCCAATTAGACAACACAATCTACATTCCTAATTACCTAATAATAATATATATTGCATAAATGCATCAGTGTATGTACCGTTGATGTCAGATTAATGGAAATAAATAATCAATCAAGCAGCTGATGTCAGATTAATGGCATAAATAAATCAAGCAAGTATGCCTGAATAAAGCCCAGGACTTCTATATAATTAGAGTAGAACCATTTATAACAATTATAATTTGACTTCATCAATGTGAATTTGAGATAATATAGGGTGAATCTATGGTTAAACTTTGGCTTTTAACAAAAAAGGTCTCTGCATTAATTACTTCTAGTATAAAATAAAGGTCAGAATAATTTATAAACATCTTTATATACATATACATGTATTTGAAGATTCACAGTCTGAGTTGGAAACATTTTAGGTGTCAGACATCATTGTCATTCTTTGAAACACCATGACATCTGGAGGAGAAGATCAGGACAGTGGGGACAGCTATAGTATTCCTTGCATTCCAAGGTTGAATTCCAGAACCAGGGAAAGAGGGAACCTTAACTGAAATCCTGTATGACAAGAAGACCAGAGTAAAAAAGATTGATTGATCTTCTGGTTTCACATAGACCTTGAATTAACAGATTGCACAGTGAACCTGGCTTATCCCAATCTTCAAAGGGTTTGCTTGTAGAGACCGTGCCTTGATTATTCCCCTGGCTTTTGAGGCTTTATCTGGAAGGAACATGAGAAGCTCTTGCCCCAAACACTTTTTTGGTGGAGTGCTGAGCTTACTTACTATCTTTCCTAAGTAATTAGCAGGCTACTAAGAATTAGACCCATAAGATGCTGCATTAGCAGGGTTTGTATCCACATTATCTGTACAAAAAAGCATATAAAGGAAGCTATGGAAGCAAACATTTTTCTTGTGCTGAGTTCAAGGCAATGGCCTGTGAGATTCAGGCAGAAGACCAGTGGGTAAATGCAAGCTTCCTCAGTTCTAGTTTCTATCCTGAAATATTTATATTTTTCAATCCATTATTCAATAATTATGATGGTACCTGGACATGCTACGTGATCAATCCATTATTTTACAGAATGTGTCAAGAACCACAGATAGTAAAAACAAACAAACAAAAAAAGAAGATCCATAGACCTGCTTTTGTACATAATGTCTGAATAAGCTCTTCTATCATTTATTTTTGAGTCTTAGTAAATTAGACAGCAGAAGTAACGTCAATATAGTTGGGCCACAGGAATAGTGTCTGTAAAGAAGCCAAATTATTTTCAAGAACTATTTTCTTAGTATATCTTACCAATGAAAATGAAATCTAATCCCAACACTCCCTGATTTCACCCCTAATGTCAATCTTCTCTTCTATATCTTCTGTTTTCTCAACTGCAGATGAGATGAAAATGCAAATAGGATATTCATGAAATGGCTACAGAATCATTTCAGTTTCTTTCCTAACTTCAAACCAAACCTCCAACCAAAACCTAAAGCACTTAATTCTGGAAGAAAAAGTAATTTAAAGTCTATGATTCATTATATACAGAGAATATTTTCAAAAGAATATGTAATATCAATGTGTCTGGAGGGATTTAAAATTTCAAACAGGGCACTAGAAAAACTGGCTTGGGTAAAACATGCATGTGCAACTGATTTCACTTATAGCTTGATAAGGTACTTGGAAGGAATATACAAATATACATATTTTGTAATTAAAAAATTAGAGTGATAAAAATAAACTTATTAATGACTTTCCTCAGCTCTTTGGGTATTCAGAGTTTAATTTAACAAGACAGAATAACTTCAATGGAATTGCTGTTTGATGAGGCTTCTTACCGTTGCAGCCAACCACATGATTTCTACATTCTTTCTTTTTTTAGTCTGAATATTTTGATGAAGATTTTCTAGTAATCCTTTTAAATCATTCTGTTCCTGAAAAAGTGGAAGGCCTGAAAAGGAGAAGGAAGCAGTCAGTGATAATATTTCCCATTCATTAAAAAAGTAGCTACATAGTCCTTTCAAATACATGAATATTTTCATCTAACAGAGTAATATCATTATTGATATATTGACTGACCAAATAATTATGTTCATTAATATAGATACTATTATTTAAAAGTTTCTTCTGAAGTACAAAGCACCCAGTGTCTGTAATTTGAATGGAAACCAGAAGCATTCCACAATCAACTTTATTTCTGTTTCCTCTCTGTAATTATTCCTAATACTGCTTTTCTATAATTGCAACAGGTGAACAAAAAACACAATACTCTTGATGGGCAGGAGAAAGGAAGACATGAGGAGTCAAGAAAAAGAATAATAATAACAAACATCTTAATTTAAAACACTGTTAAATGTAGGCTCTTTATAATAGTTTTATTACTATTGAGTTTTACTATGGAGCTTTAATCAAAGAAATTATATAAAAATTACAGAACACACCAGCTATTCATTACTAGAACACAGTAGCTCATGTTACAGTGATGATGAGAATTCTTTTGATTGGGTTGATGGAGAAAAAATTAGTTCAATAATGAACTTTTCCTTCAAATAGTGGCAAGCCACTGTGTTTGTCTCTTGCCTTTTGCTATTTTTCCTCCTATCTTTTTACATTTGCTCTTGTTTTGTAGAAGGGAAAAAATTGGGAAAATTAGGAAATATTTTCCTAATTTTCCTAAATGTCCTTCCATATTTGGCAAAACTCTAGAAAAGATAATTATATTGAAATCTTGCCTCTTTTCAGTTCTTACCAAATGTGGGGCAGGGAAGGCGTTAAATGGATGAACTTTTGTTTTTCTATTTTATCAATTTAAGATGTAAATGTAAGAAACAAAAAACAAAACAAAGCAATAAAAAAGAAACATCTTTGTTTCATATCATATTTGTCTTGACCCATAAAAAATCACACAGAAATTGTATTTGCATGTTGACATTTTGGAAAGATATTAAAATTAAAAGCTTCAGGTTGTTTGGAAATTTAGCAACTGTAGTGGCTGGGATAAATGTTGAATTTACATATTATTAAGCTAGTTCTAACCTTTTGCAGTAATTTCACTAGCTATAAGCAAGAAAAGTGCTTAATGCGTCAATTTTTGTTGATTTTTCTAATTACAAAGATGATGGTTTTAACATTCAAAAAACGAGTAGCATTTTTGATCATCTGTCATAGTTAAACACAGGTTTAACTTTATTAGCATTAATTCCAGTAGCTTCAAGAGACTCAGCAAATAAAACTCCATAAATAATGCTGTTATCAGCCGGAAAATGTAGGCTTGCATCTGTTCTGCAAATGCACTAAAATATTGATTAAAATCTTTTATATCCTAGAGAGAAAGCAATTTTAAATAACAATAGTCTTCATGAAAATCCAGGAAAAAAATGCTGCAGTGCACGAAAGATCACCTGAAATAAATAAATCCTTGTTGAATAACAACAGTGATTTTAAGTCCCTCTTTTGAGGTCTTCTTATATTTTGATGGCAGGTATAATCAGGACTTAACCTGAACTAGGGATTTTCCAGGGCTCAGTGCGCAAAGGCATTTTCATTACAAGGACAAAGAAATAATAAGCAGCCCAAAATTCAGTATACGAAAATAGGAAATTAGATTTTCTTCTATTTGTAGCATTTGATCATAAAACAAAATACATAGCAGAAAGAGAAGAAAAGGAAGTTTGGGGTCAAGGAACTGAATACTAACATGGAAACAATTTAATACATAGAATATCTATATCAAATTATATTTGATGTTCTTGTACTATAAGTTTAAACATTTTTACATTAGATGTGCTCCAATTTTCAAGATAGCATGTAGCGTTAGGACTTTTAATTCTTCACTTACAAGCCACAGTTCTTATGAATAAAATTTAGTCTCATGAGATATTCAGATCTTCAGCACTGCAACAGTAAGGTGACAAAGAAAATTAAGTAATATCAGATACATTCGGAAAACTTCATTGAATGTATAAATAGGGAGAGCAAACTGGGAAACATAACATGAGAGTTTGGTAGAAGGAATGTGGGCATCCGTTCTAATTACCTTGAGCAGAATGAAGAACAAAGGAGCCCTTGTGGTGATGTTCATGCAATGTTTGAAGAGAATCTAAACCAACATTCCTGTGTTTCTACCAAAAGAGAATAAAAGAATAACATGAAGAGAGAAGTTCTATACTTGCACATATCAGGGAAGATGAAAGGTTCCTGGAGAGAATAAGAGAAGCAGAGAGGAACATGAAAGCTGGAGTAGCTACCGGGGGAAAGTAAGGGAAGCATGCCGCCCAGTAAAGCAAGAGAAATAAGTGGTTTTCAGTGACTGACTCAAAGCCTGGTATCAGCTTCTTGCTCTTGAAGACATTCCATACCTAACTGGATAAGTCTTATTAGCCTAGTTTAGCAGAACAATGTGGAAGACACTTTGACCATGAAGTTGAAGAAAAAAAAAATGAGAAAAGAGAAATGTATTGTACTGATGGGGGATTCCCTGTGAAATGAACTGAAACTGCATTAAGACTATGCAGACTAATATGATATCATGTGTTATATTCCAGGTCCTCTATCCTGATTATGACAGAAAAATTGCTGGGTTTCCTTAATCAACAATAACTATTTCTTCCTAATAATTCATGTGATGATGAATGACAATATCAGAATAGACCTTGAACAAATGTCCCAAAGGCGCTTTTTCAACCTTCAGATCTGAGGTTTCTTGGATGAGAAGCAAAATGTCTTCAAAGAAAAACAAGAAAATCCAGTTGCCTCTTGAAAAAGCACCTTTGGGACAACCATGGCCTGGATGACTGAGAATCTCCATAGGCACCTTGAACAGATCTTCACAAATTATGAGACCCGTGCAGGAGGTACTTGTAATTGAGATCTCTTACTGGATTTATATTCTTCAGTCATACCTACATGAAAAAACTGTGGCAAAAAGTGCCCTACATCTCACAAAGCCTGGGAAAGATGTATCTGGAGAAATGTTAGCTATAGAATAATAGGTGTCAAAGGCTCAGAATTGAACATAATGCCAAAAACTGGCTTGAACAATACAAGAGATAAGCATGGAAGCAAAAGAATGACTTAGAGATTGGTAGAAATGGAAAGCTAGTAAAGTTGGCACTTACAGTCTAAGGAATTATTACATAAATGCCAAGAAGAAGAAGAAACTGAAGAAGATTGAAGAAGTAAAAGTAACTGGAAGCTTGGGAGAAATGGATCATGTTATCCTTGAGTTCATGTTCAAGAGGAGGAAGAATAGAGAGAAGTCAAACCTGTATACCAACTTTCAGAGAAGCAGATTTCAATGAATTCAGGTGGAAGGTAAGTCAAATCCAGGAGATTGCAATTTTGAAGGAGAAATATGTCTAGGAAGGATGGAAAATTCTGAAAAACGTGTTACTGAAATTGCAACAGCAAACAATTTATATTACAAAGAAAAATGAGGTCATCTACAGGTACCAATGTAGATACAGACATGCATTCTAAAATTCTGAAAAGTGAAAGGGATATGTATAGGAAATAAAAGAAGAAATGTATAACAAAAGGGGGATAGAAGCCAGTCACCAGAACATCACAGAATGAACTGCAAATGAATGTTGTAGAATGAATTGAAACTTGCAATATATATAACAACCACAATCTCAACAAACCATCTTCTTTGGAGGGGTTTGTTGGGTGGCTGTATTTTTGGCTTTCAAATGTTGCTTGTAAATGCCAGGTCAGTCTGTAATAAGGCCTCCCTCATTTGTGATTTATTTGTTGATGAGAGGGCTGACCTGGCCTGCATTACCGAGACCTAGGTGGGGCCTTTTGGAAGTATCATCATATGGATTTCAGATGTGGCATCAGTTCAGACTCTGGAGCAGGAGTGGAAATTGGTGAATGTCATGTAAGAAATGCCTATAGTCTCAGGAGTGGTGCAACACAGTATCATATATGAAATATGTTTGTTAGGTTGGGCTCTAGGGATCAGTTGGGATTGCTGCTATTGTAACTAGCTTCTCTGCTGTAAAGCAATTTCCCAGTCTACGTTCATTGAAATCATTCTGGGTTGGGAGCAGAGTTCTCCAGACTTATCATTTTAGGAAAATTCAATTTACCTCCTTTCGGAGCGTGGTCACCATGACAACCACAGTCCTAATCCAAGTCATCCAGAGTCTGACATGGGACAGTGGTTGCACACCACCTGCTACATCTGTGTCTTTTTCTTGGGTTATACAGTAATTACACTTAGGGTGTTTTATCAATTCCTTTACGGTTGTCACACGGGTGACCACGACGTTTTTTTAAACGGTACAGGAGAATTACGTGGAATTGAGAGTGTATAAAAAGGTACCCTAACAACTCGATGATACCTTCAATATATTGTACTACGAACACACTAATTATAAAATAAGAGGAACAATATAAAAAACGACCATTTTTAGTAAACAAATATGAAATAGAAAAGTATTTGAAATTAGAACCTATGAAAATATTATTTCAATATTATTCCATGTAAGCCTTCAGTCAGTTCCATCAATACTGATGGGAAATTCTATTTCAAGTGAAAGAGATTTGGGAGACAGAAAGGGAAGTGTTTGCAATAAAATAATAAAGAAACTCAAGTTTATAAAAAATGACTCTGTAGGAATGATGTTACCTTATGGTTTATGTGACAAATGTGACAAATTCAACATAATGAAGTTCTATTAAAATGCTTACAATCAGGAGGCATTTTTTCCATTAATAACTTATAATATTCTTTTAGCAATTCCAAATTTTCCTGGTTAAGGCTTTCTTGCAAGGAGGTATCTCCAAACCTAAAGAATCACAAAACATATATGGAAAAAATAAGAACAAAACTGAACATGTAAATATGATGCATTCAGAGAAACTGAATGATCTCTGATTTACTAATATGGGTTAATTATTTATAGCATTCTAAAGAAATGGTCTGGAGCAGAGGTCCCCAATCTTTTGGGCACCAGGGACCAGTTCCGTGGAGACAGGTTTTTCCGCGGACCAGAAGGTGTACGGTTTTGTGTGCTGCCTGCATCTCACGGATGGGGCTTTGCTTGTTTGTGCAGACCGGTTACTGGCATGCTATGGCCCGGTACTGGTCCATGGACCGAGGGTTGGGGATCCTGGTCTGGAGTATGTATGTACCACATACCTGCAATTCCTTAAACTAGTCATGATATAAAATTTAAAGATCTTGAGAAAATAAAAAGGTTCTATAACATGGGTTATGGAAATAATCTGACATCAGTAAGTATAATTTTGATTTTACTTTATCAGTTGAGATGGCATAGCTGCCCTTTATGGTATTTACTGAATAGTAGACTTGAAACTGGAGGTATCACAACAAAAACAAACAGTGCCTTTGGTTGAAAATTGGTTGAGAAGTGCTGAAAAGTCTTCACTAAAGCAAAGGTTATGTCTGTGGAAATATTGATGAAAATAAAGCTCCAATTTGCAGTACTTCTGCCAGTTTTATCCAATGGTAGGCTCCAGATTCTATTCTCTAGGCATTACAAATATTATCTATATTGTTTTATAGAGGTTTTTTTTGGTCAAGGTTCTATCAAATGAAGCCACACTTAAAAAGCCCTTCATCTCCTCTTGATTGCTGCTGACTTGAAGTACATGTGATGTCAGACTGTCTCAAACCAAGGGAGAATTAGTCTGACTATATCATTATTTTTTCCTGCCCAATAGCAATAACAAATATTCTATGAAGTGACTAAACAAGAGAATAAATCAGACAGTTATAGTTGTTAAGCATATTACTGAGTTTAATTTAAAATAATTTCATTATTTTATATGATGGCACATCTCATGCATTACAGATAGTTTATATAGAAATATATTCTCTTGAAGTATCTAGGATTTTTTTCAGTCAATAAGGATCTAATTGAAAATGAAGGCTTCCCTGATATTATTTATTTATAGCAAAATTCTGTCTATTCCTAGCCATTTTGAATTAAGAGTGAAAGTGAGGTGGGTCAGCATGCAGTTCTAGGTGCTATTCTAAGTAATTTTCTATGGAACCATCAAATGATGGAGAAATCATTCAATTTATATCAGCTGAAGCCCAGTGCTGACATGGATGAGGAAGATCTTGGCTTTAAATTCTTTGGCAGAGTAGAGTCAGAGGATTTGACCATATCCTATAAAAGCCATTTTATGCATATAAAAGTATTCTTTGTTTTGTTTTGTTTTATCCTAATGCCTTGCCTCAAAAATGCACTCTAACCCTAACTTTATTCAGCTTTATTCTGTACTGAAAATCTTAATTTCACTATTACTATGTAGGATTGACATTTATTTTCACATAGGATAATTTTTTTCTTAGCATATTACAACTATAACTAGGTTATTCTATTATTTTCTATTATGCATCTTGATTCTCTAAAAGCATTTAAAATATTGAATTAAGCTGAACATGAACAAATACTAATTTCAGAAGTATTAAAAATTTTCATAATATGTGCACTTAATAAATGTCTAAATAGCTAAAAATCATTTTAATTGGATCAATCTAATCCAATATAGGTCTATTACAGTGCTGGCGAACCTATGGCACAGGTGCCAGAGGCGGCACTCAGAGCCCTGTCTGTGGGCACGCGTGCTGTCGCCCCATCCTAGGCCTTCAGCTGGGTTTTATAAAACCTTTTCGCTTTAGGCCTCCGCCGCTGTATGCAAAAAAAAAAAAAGGTTCAATCAATCAGTCAATTTCAACTTCTTGCGGGGAAAAAAAAAGATCTTGCAAAGTTGGAATTGATTGAACTTTTTAGTCCCACCCAGTCTGCCGTTACCACCGCAGCCACGCCCAGTCAATGGGCCACACCCACCCAATTGGCCACACCCACCCGGCACCCGAAGATGCATAAGTGGGTTTTGGGTTGCAGTTTGGGCACTCGGTCTCTAAAAGGTTCGCCATCACTGGTCTATTATATAGACATTATTAATGGTTATTTCTTCAAATGTTCACTATTGTCGATATAATAATAGAACATACATTATGTGCAACGTATGAATCATGCTTTTTGGCTCTGTCCTTCTCTGGAATAGCTTCTCATTGGAAATTTGGATGACAAAATCCCTGTGGATCTTTAAAAAATTGCTAAGCCTTGGCTTTGTTACCAAGTTTTGGGGGAAAGGCTGTTACAATTCTCCCTCTGAATAAATAAGTCTTGATTTTTTAAAAAAATTGTTTGATTTCTGGTGGAATTATGTGTATCTTAACAGTTTATAGTACTTTTGCTTTAAATTTTTGATTATAAAATATTTGTTTTAACCATAATCTTGGAATGGCAAGTTGTACCATACAGAAGAGGTTAAGTGGAATGGCCTACAAGCTCTCTATATTTAGCTGAAGATGTCAACATTTATTTGGAACTAAAAATTGGAAAATCTGTTCAGATACACTGTAGCTGACTAACCAGTTTCTGAGACACAAAGAGGAACTGTTAGGCCCAGACCTGCTGTTCAGAGAGAATATTAAGATGGTCCTTTTTTCTCTCTCAAATGACTTCGATTACTCCAGTCATAAACATGCATCAAAGTTCCTGACAACAAGGATGAACCTTTCATGGGATGGGATGTTCTGAAAAATGAAATAGTGCCTGTACAATTATCTAGCCAGTGGCTTCCTGGTAGAGATGAATAAATATTTAGTTTGCTTTATTCAAATTATATTTTTTCAATTGTGTATTTGTGTCACTATTTTAATGTGTTTATGAATAGAAAATCCCCGATTTGCACTCTTTGTAGCTATTTTCCAATCTTCATTTCCTAATATATACAATTTTATGTTTTTTAAATATGCATAATTTTTGAATATATATATATTCAAAATACACATGTATTTTCTGTGCATTTTTTGAGTTTCAAACTGTATACCGTAGTTCCTATAAAAAAGCAGCGTGTTCCAAGCTGCCTATAGATTCAGCTGTTAATCATGTACAATTTATACAGATATGAACAGAATGAATTTATCATTTCTCCTTACTTTGCTGCATCTTCTCTAGGTGTTATCATAACCAATTATTTAATCATCTCATGGGATGCTAACTCTATGGGTATTTTTTTCTATTCCTATATAAAACAACACATAACCCTGATGATTTACCTTTCTGCAAGGGTTTGTTGTTCATTGATTCCAACATTAAAGAGGACTGGGTAGACATAGAGCAGTTTCCCATCTTTAATCTCTTGAGGAAGCAATTCAAACATCTTTTCTGGAAGCTTTATTTCTATTACATAATGGTCCCTATGAAAACAAAAAGACAAAACTAAATTTGAGTTGTTTCACTTTTTTAAAATAACTATATTTTCAGTCTGGTTTACTCCTAGGCTGGTAGACAACAAAATCTATATTTAAAAATGGGATGTTTTCATAAATGAAGAATCTTTTTCAATTAAAAAAGCATATTTGTAAAATCTACCAGGACTCTCAACATCCCTCAGAAAGAAATACAGAAGAGTTGGAAGTTGCAATGTTGATTATACTGACATTTTTAATAATTTCAATAGAGAAATTTGCAATGGAGTATCTGTTATTTCTTATGTGGAAGCAAAAGACCCCTGAGAGTGAACATTTATAGTTAATGTCCATAATCTTAAAGGCTTAAAGGAGACAAATTAAAAACAGAACATACAAACATCCAATACAGAAGAACTAAAGCCTAGCACAGCTTATTCTTATCCAAATCATTTCATTTCTAGATGGACTCATCTAGTGCTCTGGCCCAATTCTCAAGCCAAAGCTAAGTTTTCAGGGATTTGCAAAATTCAAAAGGATCAGGGCTATTCTTAACTTGGAGAAAATGCTTTTCCATAGACCAGATATGTTTTTTCCACCTAATGACTTTTATTGTTTCATCAATATCTAAAATACAAAGAAAAATAAAAATAGGAAATTAAGGTAGGAAAAGGAGAGGGGGGAAAGAAGATATGAGATACAAGGGAAGAAAGAAAAAAAGTGTTGACATCTGACTCTTTTTAGTACAGTAGAAGATAACATTCCAGCATCAACTTTTTACTTTTACACATTAGTATATAACTAGTCATTTCTATAACAACAAATCTATATACTTGGCAAAACCAAGTCAAAGTTTCATTTTTTTTCTACTCTCAGTCCTGAGATGGCCTCTAGATAGAAAAGCAGCAAGACTCCCAACTGATCCCACAAACCAATCTCAGAAAAAGTCTCACTTCCAGAAGCTTAGAGAGAGTAGCCCCCAAAGGCTAATAGAGATTCCTGAACGACAACTGCCACTTCGCCTCAGTTGGTACCAGCTGGGCACATTTCTGGTTATGTCATATGTAACTGTATTGCTCATTTTACAAACCTTTTTAAATGCTAACTATTTCACATATTCTTTATTAAACTCAATCAGAATTAATCACAACCATATATTTCTATACATTTGATGTTGCAGTTCCTTCCATAAACAATAAATATTTTAATATTTGGAGCATAATTGCCTAAAACACTAATGATCCTTCTGAAATTGACCATTTACAATCTTTTTTTTTCTTTAGGACATCAGAGTTGAGAATGAGGTACCAGAAGCAGATGCAGCATTTGAAAGTGGAATAGATAAAAGAAAATAGTGACAAAAAAGCAAACTTGGCAATATATCAAGCGTTCACAAAAATTTGACCATTTTCTTACTGCTTTATTGAATAGGAATCTTTCCAAAGCTGGATAATTTTCTTGGCAACCCCTCACGAATAAAGATCCATAACTCTTAATGCTCTATATTTATTTATTGGTTAGATTTAACAATTAACTATTAATAAATATAGAAAATGCTTATTTGTTAGATTCTAAAGATAGACCCCAAAAGAAAATGTACCACTTTATATAGTAAAGTAATTGTTGTACAGGCATACCAACTTTTTTGTAGATTTCATATCAAAGTGTAATTATAGGGAAAATCCAAACTGTAAACATTTATGTTTTAGAGAATGTCACATCAAGGAGACAACAATAAAGCTATTAGAACTTTAGTGAAGGGTCTAGAATAATTATTTCCAGACTGTTAGTAGTTCCATATTGCAAAGAAAGTTTCCTGTTACATACAAGAAGCTTGGTTTCTCTAATGAATGAGGAGAGAGAAATGGGTAGTGCAATCTTATTGGCACTTCTGAATCTCTGGGCAGCTTTTGATACCATTTGACATGATAACTTCCAGGATCACTTAAGGGAGCTGTAGTTTGGAGTCACTGTTTTACTTATATTGCTTCACTCATTTTGTCATTAACACCCTTACGCCTCACTTTGTCATTAATAACCTTATGTTACTTAGCCACATTTCCCCTTTCTTGTGAGCTTGGACAATTCTAGAACCACTGAATGTCTTCAAATTATAAAGAGTGGATGTGGAGGAATAAGCTAACTATTAGTGTCAACAAAATAGAATTGTTTCAGTCCAAAAAATGAACTTCAGGGTTTGGAAGATTTGCAAGCTGCTTTAACAAACAGATTTGCAGTCTATGTGACTTTGTGGATTCAACATTGTACAGCGTAGTGTATAGCCCCAAAATATCTGTAACAAGATTGAGTGATTTTGGTAATAAATCAAGGACATCCCTACTTAGAGACAAAATACTTGGCTTGGTGACTTTATATGGTAATTGCATTATCATAAAATGCTCTGTGGATCAATCCTTGAAGATAGTCCAAACATTGTTCAGAATGAGGCAGTATTTTTTAACTGATAATGCTTTCAGAGATTCAACATAACCAGTATTGAAACAGCTTCACTAATTGCTGGTTGCTGGACCTAATTTAAGAAATTCACATATAAAACCTTTCCTTGCTTAGCTCCAAGCTATTTACAGGATCATCTACTCCTGCATATTCATTTTGTACTCTTAGATTGTAAATGAGATGCCTGCTGAATGTGTTTGCCATTACCAATTAACTTTGCTTTTTCCGTGATACATTCCATGTTGTTGAACTCAGTATAGATTATGCCTTGTTACATTTTAAAAGGGACTAAATCTATATTTATTAACTCAGCTTTTAACAATTTACTTTTTGAATATTAAGCACTGGCCGATTTATTTTTCAGTATTTAAGATTTCTTGTTTTTATTATTATTGGCTTATTATGTTTTTACTGCAAATCCATTAAAGCAGACATGTCAAACACAAGGCCCAGGGGCCGGATGCGGCCTGAGAAGTGGTTTCATGTGGCCTGCGAAGCTATCCTGGAAACAGTGAGGGAACGGCCCCCTCTGCCTTGGCCCTGGCCGGCTAGGAGCCAATGTACAATTTTGTGGTGGCCATCTATGCTGAAATGCATTCAGTCTTAGCTCCATAAGCCCCCCCCCGCATGGCCTGAGAGGAACAGTGAGGCTCCTCCAATGGACCACGCCTTGGCACTTGCCCTGGTCCCATCCCCTTCTGCCAGAGACCCTCAGATCTATCCCACTCCTGCCCAGACCCCCACAGGCACCTTGACACAAATGATGTAGAGCTGACCACGCCTACCCAGTAGGCCACACCCACTTCATCCACGCCCAACCAGTAGGCCGCACCCACCCTGGCCACACCCACCCGGCCCCCCGAGGGCAACTGCAATGCTGATGCGGCTCTCAATGAAATTGAGTTTGACACCCCTGCATTAAAGGAATGGGTAGCATATAAGAGTTTTAAATAAAAAGGAGTAAAGGTCACAAATGATTTTGAAAAGGGATAGCTGAGGGTTCATATTATATCATAGATCAAAATATTTTGTACCTATTGCCTCAATTAACAGCCCAGTACTATTAATCCCCTGATGGTTCCATAAATCCAGCCTGAAGGCTTCCTGCCAACAGAGCAATTAATGTTTTAGTATCCACATTTATAAAACAAATTGGTCTGAAATTCAGAACCCTTATCTGGCTTAGAAAAAATTATTAGATAAGCTCAGTAAATAAATAAGTTAAGTTAAAAATACCTCTAATAAAATATTAAAATAAAAATATTATATAGTGCTTCTACTAATCACTGGAGCTACCATCACATTGTTTACAGTACTGTTAGTCCTCGACCTACAACCACAATTGATCCCCAAATTTTGGTTGCTAAGCAAGATGAAATTGTTAAGTGAATTTTGCCCCATTTTACGATCTTTCTTGCCAGTCGTTAAGTGAATCACTTCAGTTATTAAATTAGTAACATGGCTGTTAAGTGAATCTGGCTTTCTCATTGACTTTGCTTGTCAGAAAGTTGCAAAAGCTGATCACATGACCCTGGGACATTACAACTGTCATAAATGCAAGCCAGTTGCCAAGCATCCAAATTTTGATCACATGATTATGGGGCACTGCAATGGTTGTAAGTGTGGCAAATGGTCATAAGTCATTATTTCAGTTCATTGTAACTTTGAATGATATTAAATGAATGACTATAATTCAAGGTCTGTATGTAGAATCAAATATAGTGAGATGAAAAACTAAATCCAATAAAAATTATGAGAAAAAAGGTTGCTCCCTCCTACAAACTTAGAAAAGGTAAAATGTAGGTGCCAAGGGAATAATTATTGTTAAAATGCTTGTTTTTAAAAAATCAAATATAGAAAAAAAATCTCTGTTGTACATCTGCAAAATACTATAATAAACACTTAGAAAGGTATCCAGCACTATAGAAAGCACAAGATTGCAATGTGTCTATACTCTATAAATAATTTAGAAAATCATTTTAGGGATGTATTAGCATATGTATGAGCTAGTGTCCATTTATAGAACACAGGAAAGAAATTATAAACAAATGTATAAACAAACATGTTTACTTCCTTGAGGGCACCTAGAGCCCAGTGCAGTAATATATTTTATATAACTTCAGAAACTGAAACGAGTTTCAAATTATTTTGAATACAGACAAAGAAGACAGTACAAAAAGGAAGTCAGTATTTCAAATTTCTCTCTATTTGCCAAGAAACCAGACCTTGAAAACACTCAGATTACTGATTTTAAAGTCTCACTTTCTCATAAGTGCACTTTGATTATTTTCAATTGAAAATCTAAGAAATCATCAGATTATAGGCTGCAGAACTAGGCAGTGATAATGGGATTTTTAAATACTATTTCCTATTAGTATTGATCAGATCATCTGGTAATATCTAGTATCAGATTTTTTTATGACCGAGATTAATTAATTTTTATTTTTTTGCAGAAATTCCAGGACACTCAGAATTTCCAAATTTGAATTATGAATACAATTGCACCACTTATTGTAGCCAGTAGAGGTTTTACAGTATAATCTTTCTGCCATCGCTTTATAGATGCACCAACACAGTTCATCTATTATCCACAGTATTTGTGTAAACAAAGAAACTTTAATTGTAAAAATTTGGCAATTTCAAGGTTATAAGAAGTTCGTAGTTATTATTGTTTTCATTATTATTATATTCAACTTCACCAAACATATTTTTCACATACAGTAAGAAACAGAAATTGAAAGCAAGGAAGGAAGGAAACATAAACTTAAAACCAAACAAAAAAAGCCAAAAATATTTCCATTTTGTCTCTTCCCTCCCTACATCTTTTCAGCATTAACTCATGTTTATTTCTCTGTCCCTTTCCATAAGAAGTATGTGGTAGCATCTACAGCAGAGGACCCCGACCTTTTGGGCCAGTTCTGTGGAGAAAGGTTTTTCCACAGACCGGTTTTGTGTACTGCCTGTATCCCATGGATGGGGCTTTGCTTGTTTGTGCGGACCAGTTGCTGGTATGCCACGGCCTGGTACCGGTCCACGGACCAGGGGTTGGGGACCCCCGATCTACAGTATTATAGTTATCTTGAAACATTTAAATTGTGCTAGATTTGGATCTGATGATCAGGAAATGAGCAGTGGTCTCTGGCTGATAGGGAAATTTTTTAAAAAATCTCCTGAGAAGATTTGACAAACTATTTCCACAATGCTACCTAAAAAACTTTATGGACATATTCTATAGACATCAAAAGTCACACTCAACTTGAACAAACTTTCTATCCAAACCTATTCAGCTCTAACTATACAGCATTCTGAATGTACACTGCTGCTAATGTTCTTGTAATTCTATTTCTTTTGTACTTCTAAATGCCCTGTACTGTGTATGTGTGGAAATGCATGTGTGCTGCAAAGCAGAATTGCTTCTTTTACATTTGGAAGACATTGTATAATGCTGAGTCAGTCTGCAAAATTGAGAGTAAGAATAGAAAGGAGATAGAAATGAAGGGTAATGGGAAGAATGGTAATGATGGGTGTGGAAGAAAGGGGATTTGGGAGGCAGTGAAGAAGAGTAACCTGCAGGGAATTCCTGGAAGCTTCTGACTTTTACTTTCCCCTTAGCTTTATAGACTCCATGATCCCATGAGCAGAGAAGAGCAAAAAGGGCATTATGATATAAAGACTGCTATACTGAATGAATGAATGAATGAATGAATGAATGAATGAATGAGTGAGTGAGTGAGTGAGTGAGTGAGTGAGTGAGTGAGTGAGTGAGTGAGTGAGTGAATGAAACTATCTTGCATAAATTGCAAAATGCACTGAGATCCAAAGTGGAGAGAGAGAAAGAGACAGAAGTATAGCATGTATTTGGGAGGGAAGAGAGTGGGAATTTCTTAACCTGGAGCTGTGTTTTTATTTTCCTTTCTACTTATGCACTGGAGGACTGCTGCTTTGATCAAGAGCCTAATTTAGGCTTTATTTTATAGCTTGGCATGCCATGGTTTCACCACAGTGTCCAGCTATGACCAGTGCCATTTTCTCAAGATGGAATGCTGGCTAGATATCTGCATTATGATTTTTAGGCCTAAGTCTTGTGCAAACAAAGCTTCAGCCCTGTGAGAACTCAGTTTAGTCTCTGTGGACAAGCCATCTATGAGAATAAGTTCTAGTAGTAATCTGTGATGTGAGGCATAAAGCTTCCACACACAAAGTCAGAGTCCTGCATGGGTTGTGCATGCAAAGCTGAATTGATGCCAGAACGTGTTCCTGCTGGGATTAAGTTCTAGCAGGACTCTAATTTATGTACAGGGAATAATAAATGGGAGAGGAAACTCACGTAATGCTAAACTGACACCTGCTAAACTGTTAGCTACTTCATTCACTGGAACAAAGGGAAATAGCTCATTAATTTTATTCATGGACGGAATCACAAAAAATCATATGTCATTTTATAAGGTTGTGGCACTGTAGAGTTTGGGAACTCTGCAATATTTAATTGCACTGATGAAATCCTTGCTAGCTACTCTTACAGGAGTTTGAATGGGATAGAATGGGATGCAAGACAGTTATGGCTTCCTCAGAAGCAGAACATTTAAAAAAAGTAATGAAACTCCACCAACAGAAGGTGCCTTGGCACAATTTTTGTGGCAATGCTATTTTTCCACACCATGGGGATATTTCCTTAGCAGAAACTTTCTGCACAACATTTTGTACCCTGAGTTGGTAATGATGATAAGCTTATTAAGAACTCTGCTTCCACTTGGCAAATGTGCCTAAAACACAGTCTTGCATAGTGTTTCTTCCTTTGCCACAGAGTCACTGACTCTGAAAATGCAGGAAATTTATTTCTGGCATGCTGTTGTATTTTAATTTAGACATTATAGCAACGATATCTCATAGGTTAGGCCCAACAGAAGATTAAGATTAGAAAAATACAGGTAGTCCTCGAGATGTGACTGTAATGGAGCTTGTCCATTACAGTTGCATGCTGTAATGGCCATTAAGTAACCTAACAACCTAACAACCCCCTCAGTTTGTTTGTGGATGCTCTGTTTTTTAAGGAGGATTCCTTTGTTGGTGGAGTTTAAGTACTACTTGCTAGGAGAATAGCACAAAGTTGCCATGAAGTTGGCAGCCTCTACAAGAAAACTAAGCTGGGCCTCACATTGCATCGACTGGACTCTCTGCAAAAAACAAAAAGGTGGGTTCTGCTTGGCTCTGGAGCTGGCTGAGGAGCAGGTTGTGTCCTGCAAGTCTCCGGGGTGGCCAGATGGGAAGTAGACCTCAGCCAACAGGCTTTATCTGTCCACCATGTGCCCAGTTGCTTCTGCTGACCAGCTTTAGGCTCCCTTGCCTGGTTGAATAGCCAGTTGGGAGCAGGCCGAGACTTGGGGGACCCTGAAGGACAGGGGACAGAGCACCGGGTGCCTTGGGGGGTGGGAGAAGGCTTAGGAGGTCCAGGAAGGTGAGCCTGGGCCTGTGCTAGGCGTCCAAGGACCTCCCTCACTCCTGAAGCACTCAGTGCTCCACTTAATGACCTGCATGTTTGTTTAACAATTGCATAGGGGAAAGCAGCGATGTGGGGTTAAGTGAGATGTTTACTTAACGGCCATTGCAACATGCGACTGTAATGGACAAGCTCCATTTACTTGTACTCTAATCTTAATCTTTTGTTGGGCCTACACCAGGTTTGGTCTTAGATAGCAAAGAAACATCTATATTCAAGCATCAAAAAACATGCTGCTGAGTTTTTGCATACAAAAATAAAGACACATATTCTTCCCTCTCCCATTTTTGACAATATAAAATTACACAATTAAAATAAAAGGAGTTTTTCTCCTTAATGAGACCTGCAATTTCCTTAAAAGGTGTTCATTCTGATTTCTGTCTCACATAACTTCCCTTTCAATTTTTTTTGCACATCAAATTAACATTTTTTTTAAAGAACAGAGAATATGTACCGTCTTCCAGTTATAACAGGCAATAGGTCATCTGATTTAGTTTCAGTTATTTTAAACACGACTTTTTGCAAGTCTGATATTCCCACAGCCATATCTTCTAGCATCCCAATTTCATCACCTATAATGAAAAAATAATTTTAAATAAAAAAGAAAACAAAATATACATGGCTAGCAATTCTATATATCTACTTTTACCATGTATTTACAAAAAGTGGTAAAGTTCTTCGCCTTAATTATTTGCTTATTATGGGTTTCTTTATTTGCACATTAACAACAGGTCTCTAGATATTTATTATGTTTTACAACTTCTATTTATATTTCTACTTCCCCACATGCTAGCAATATATTTGGGACATTTATTTACAAAAACAGATGCAAACCTAAATCTAGGTTGACATATTGCACCAAGCCATAAATAAGGTTTGTTTAATTTGGTGTGGTATGTTATGTGAACCCACTATGAGCACATTTTGTGAATAAATTCATCTTTTTCCTCATTATTGCATAAAAGCCACCATTCGGGGTTTTAGGATATTATTATATACAAGGTAAAAGTATATAGCTACAATTCTTTTACTGATGCTGGCTTTCATTTGCATCAAGTTCTTCCCAACAATCTAGGAGACTGTAACACATTGGCACAGTACATTTGCAGATCCAAGTAATGGGGTCTTTTGTAATTGACAGATGGAAATTTTGTTTATTCTGATTTGTTACAGTTAGCAAGATGTTTAGGCTGGATTTGGTATTTTTGTCCACCTATTGCATTCTTCCTAAGGACCTGGGATTGACAGATATTGTTTAAGGAAGTTAAAGGTATCGTCACAGAATGTAAGCTGATTTTTGCAATTGACTGATAGTGATTTTATCAATACCAAGTGGTACTCCAGATATTTCGGGATTGGGCCCAAGGAGCCCATTACTATTGGTAGTATATTTGCTTTCTTTTGCCACAGCCATGCTACTTCTATTTGCAAGTCTTTATATTTTGTGATTTTCTCCATTTCTTTCTCTTCTCTTCTGCTCTCTCCAGGTATTGCAATGTCCACTATCTAGACTTTTTTACCTTATTTATCAATCATTGTTAAGTGGTGCTGTGTGGCAGATGCTTGTCTATTTGAATTTTAATGTTCCAGAGCACAGCTCCTTCCTTTTCTATTACTTCATCTATTTTTTCATCGCACCAGTTCTTGCTTACAAGCAAATGGTATTTCTTGCAGATATTTCAATGCACCATTATTGCTACTTTGTCATTCCTTTGTTTGGAATCAGCCTATGGGCTCTTTTTTTCAGCAGCCAGTTTGGTCTCTTTGATATTCAATAAATCTTCATGGTGTACTAGCTTCAGTGCATCTTCACTCTTTGTTAGATATTTTTCCAATGTACTTTTTTTCTTCTTCAACTTTCTGGTTTAATTCCAACATTCCCCGTCCATCTATGTTCCTTGGTAAATAAGAGTCTCAACATTGCTGTATGGATGAAGGGCATGATTCGTTGTCATTATTTTTATGGTCTTTCTATCCATGGTTTCGAGATCAGCTTGATTATTCCATTATTCCAGTTATATATCTAATGATTGGAATTGCTCAGGTATTTTGATAGATTTCCACTACTGAGTTTGTACTTTAAGCTCTTCTTCCCTCTTTTGATGAGTTCCCTATCAACCTTCTTGACTTCAGTATGCTTGATGTCTAAAGCATACTTAAGTATTTCTAATTATCTTTTTCATTCAAACTCTTTATGTTATTTCCATAGAACAGCTTGATTCCTTCAATATTTTTCCCATTGATGATAAGAGTAGATCCGTGTAGAGTGCAATGCAGTAATGCAGTCTGGAGGTCACAAAGGCATTAGTGACCATAAGCAGTCTTCTCCTGATCCAGGAATAGGGACAAATAATGCACAACCTGAAGTTGTAGTTGGTCTTCTCAGTTATAGTTGCATCTGCTCTTTTAACAAGAGACATCAGTCCAGGAGAATCCCCAGATTGTGCACCAGTTCTCTCTGGGTGGTGCCATCCATTCTAAAACCAAAGAGGAAACTCTTTGGAAGTAGGAGTTCCCAAAACCCAGAACCACTCAAACTTGCTTGGGTTGAGTTGAAACCTGTTGTGCCCCACCAAACTCTCACAGTCTCCAGGCATTGAGACAAAACCTCCATGCATCACTTGGGTGGCTTGGGGTAAAGATATAAAGCTGAATATCATCAGCATACTGTTGATACCTCATCCTAAACCACTGGATGACCTTAGTGGTTTCATGTAGATGTAAAACACGAGGGGCCACTGGCTGGATCTTTTCTTTTCTATCAACAGCAACTGGAACCAGTTGTAGAGGAAAGAAGAAAACCAACACAACATCATATCACTGACCCCCATTCCCAGAGCCATCTCAGAAGAATACCAAGATTGTTGATATCAAAAGCCACTGAGAACTCAAGAAGGATGGATGTACTACCTCCAACTTGCCCCCAACATTCAAAAGTGCAATCAATGCAAAGAGCCATAACCAAGTCAATGGTCAGGTAAGAGAAATCTGAGTCCTAAGCAGAAATGTAATTTTAGAAAAAATCTCAGACTTGACCCTTCATAGATGTCATATGGATAAATGCAGTTATCTGAGGTGCATACTTACTATATGTACTGAGAAGTCCTTCATACTGAACAATTAGGCCCACTGTATGAAGTTGCTGGAGGAAGCCTTGATCACATAAACCAGAGTGTAACTTGATGATAAATCCACAGACCAATCCAGCAAGCTAGGTTAATGAAAATAACCACACAAATAAATATATTAATTGTTTCAGTCAAAAGTTATAATAATTATTATAATAATTATTATTATAACTATATAAGTCAAATCAGAACCACTGGCTCAGTGGCTCACTGCCATACAAATTAGTCTTGAAAGAATATGGCAAGAAAGAGGGTAAGTACTTGGATTTTTATTAATCATAAGCTGGTATCTTCCTGATGTTTACATTCAAAATCATGCCCAGAAATCACAAGCTCATGTCTACTCTTAACCACAGAAATTCACTGGGTAACTTTGGATTAATAATTTTCCACCAGAAGTAGCACAGGTTTGTTATTTGAGGGAGTGTTGATGATGAAGATGGCGGAGAAAAGAGTGCTATGTATGCCAATTGGAACTTTCGGAAAAGGGGCTACAAGTCTAAAAACAAATTTCTATCAGATCATATTAATATGGCTAATGAGGCTTATAATAGTTACAATCCAGAGCTTCAGAAGGGATATTAGATGCCAAATCTCATCTTAAAACGTGCATTTTAATTATTTCCTTATAAATATAGTTATTTTTATGCCACTTTGATTCAATGTATAACTTTTCATTCTTCAACTGATAATTGAAAACATGTACTTTTTCCAAATTAAAAAACAAAAGCTATAAAAGACACCCTATAGCAGACATAATTTAGTTTTATGTAAATTATGCATACAGATTGGACCTAGAAAACCAAAGCAACCCTATCAATCAGCCATGGATCCTATTTCATCATGCTGAGAGTAACATGGACCCATGGATCAAACAAAAAAGGAGCTGTTGCTCTAGTACTTATTTTCCTTTTCCTTCAGCTGATACTGGCTGATCTCAAAAACATTTATAATTTGGATGTCTTTAACTATGTTGGCCTCCTGAGATGCCTTGGAAAACTCCTAAGCACTGGGCCAAAGCACTGGATAAATTCTTTCTTTGAACTGAAATATATTTTGGTAGCCTTATTATTCTATATTTAAGTATGTTGTATGTTTTGTTATTGGCTGGTCTATTTTCAAGCATAAAATAAAGGAGGGATATAAATCAATCAGCCCAATAAGCAAACTTCCAGCAGTTGCTGTTTGTAAGTTCAGTGGCCATAATTAAAGTAATATTGGACCTGATTAGTACATATTCTTGCCAAAAATACTACATGGATTTCTCTATCACATCAACAGGAGCTTAGCTTTTGTCTACTCTTTTTGTTTCACTGCTATTCTGTTGTCAAGGACTTCAGATCTTTCAGTATCAATTTTAATACTTTCCATGGAAATTTTTTCTCATTTAAAAATAATACATTATAATACATTATATATAATTAATGAACAAAATAAATAAATAATTGCATTATAATAGTAATCAATCCTCAAAGTAAAGAAAAAGGAAAGTAAACAGGCATATTTTGCACTTCTTTCTTTCTACTAGGCTTATGTGTACCTCCAGTTGTTGCTGCCTTTAAACTATTATTGGCCAGGAACTAAGCTTCTCTTGCTGTGACAGTAAAAGATAATTCTTTGATTTTTAAACAAAGAACCACTTCTGCGAGATTGGCAGTTTTATAAAATCTGAAGTGTCAGGTTTCAATGATGCTGCTGAAAGCTGATCTCAGCTATTGTGAGATGAAAATAGGCTGAAAAGCTTCACGTTTAAATAGCATAAGCACTGCCATTTGGATTTGTGACTATATAGACAAAAAAACTATTTCTTGCTTAGACAGTGATAGTTGAATACAACTAATTATTATAAAATCATTTTAAATCCTTAATGTTATTTTATGATCATTTTTAATATGGACCATTCAATTATAATTGAATATAATTATTGAAGTGACTTACAATTTTTATAATTCCTTCAGGAGGGCTAGGTTGCAGATATTATAGACAAATTATTTCTATATGTGGCTACGTTTTCTAGCAGGGTTGAAGTGTTCAATCTTACTGGCACAATAATGTCCTCTGTAGTTTTCTCTAAGTAACTATTTACGTGATTTGTTTGTTCACCATTTATTTATTTGGCTTATAAATCATCATGAAAAAGAAATAAGGAAGCTTCTTGAAGTAAATAAACAAGCACTGTTCAATATTGCAGAACATAGCCAGAGAAAGCCATAAAAATGTGAGTATTGGATTCAGATGAATTGGCAAAAAAGAGCATTTTATAATAAATACCAATCTTGTGTCTGAATATCTGAAATATGTGGTAAGCATTCCATATGACTAACACTTTGCCAGTAGAATACTCTTCCAATGAGTATAACTCATAAGCAGGCACTCAGGGTTATATCTATCAATGGACAGTGAACTATCAATGGAGAGCAGAAGGAACATGTCATTGAAAAGACTGAACTTTTTGATGTGTTGTACTACAATTTTCAAATTTTCCAACAAACTTGCTGACTGAAGATAATGAGAGTTGTAGTTCAACACAATGATATGAAACCAGGTTGAAGAAGGATGCTCCAGAGTTACGAAGATATTCTTTGTTGTCCTTAAAGTTGGTTCAATGAAAGCTTACATGATTTACATCTATTATTTTTCAATAAAACAAAGGATTATCAAAAGAAAACACCTACTGCTTGACTGAAGACTATATCTCTTCTTAGTGTCAACATTAAACATTGTGGCAAACAACATGCAAGCTCCTGAAGCAGAACAAAAGACATTGATTGCTTTGCCCTTATCACCACTTCTCCAATACAGTCGTTCAGTGTAACTATTAGAGGATACAGTTGTTCATACCAGTCATCTGTAACAAATAAGGAATGACAGTGACCATCAAAGTAGAATTGAAATATATCAGAACATATGTAACTATCATAACTCATTCATGTACAGTACATGATTTAAGGTTATGTGCCTGATTATGTATGTAACTTATTATATAGTCTTTTGCTCTCATTATACCACTAAAGAAACAAGATAAACTGTAGTTTATTATAACCTAAATACATATTCAGAATTTAATTGAGGTCAATGACTTAAATTAACTTCTCTAAGAAACCCATGGGAAAAAACTCTAAGAAACCCATGGGAAAAAACTCAAAAATTAATTTTATGCCTATTTGATTGAGAAAAATATTTCCTGTTTGTCAAGTGTAAGTAGCACTAAATATTGGTATTCTTTAGTAATTTCATGTGGATATGCTGTACATGTGGCTATCTGAAACTATTTGCATAATTTGGAAATTTAACACTTCTGATATATTTATTTCAGAAAAAAACATGAACGGAATAGATTTCCTCAGTCTGGCAATAGCCTTAGAAATTGTTATAATATTCATTCCAACATTCATTAAAAAAATCACCAAAATTTGCTTTGTGACTATTTTATAAGAATGTGTACCATACTTAATAATATTTTCAGTTCCAAATATATCCCCATTTTTATCCTCAAAAGATGAAGAGGAAATAAAGAATGAAAACAGGAAATAAAGAGGAAAACAGAAAATGGTCATCTTTCTTTCTCAGTCCCTTTACTGGGTTGTAAGCACTGTTATTACAGATACTATATTTAACTTGTCATGGAACACTGCACCATTTGTGACGGCATTATCTAATGAGTTTAAAACAAGACCATAAAAATGTTCTGTATCTTCCTACTCTATATTGTCAGGTGAACCTCCCCCGGGTGAAAAGGATGAAAAGATTAAACAGAGTTGAAGCAAAAGAATTCACTCTCATTAAATATTAAAAGCCACTTTGTTACTCACTAGTGCTCCCTTAGTATTTGAAAAATGCATCAGTTTGAAAGGACTTGCTCTGTCTTAGTGATATCATCACATATCAAATCATATCTATATATCATTTTGTCATGCATTCCATCCTCTCTCTTAACTCCAGTAAATTGCAGTCCACGACTGATCTATTAAGTATTAAGTTCACTTCCATTTATTTTCATGTTTTCATGTTGTAGCCAGATCTGTTTGTCTGTATAGCTCCAAACTGTCACATCATTTCATGTGACGTCTGCCTATAAACAATCTTGTGAGTATTCAAAACAATGCTAGAATCTAGAAAACATAAATGATACAAAAACAGCCCAACAATTGCAAAACAAACAAACAAACAAACAAACAAAACCAATAGAAGAGAACTATTACTAACATGATAGAACTAGACAAGTATCTGTGATGGACATGATGGAGATTTGTTAAATACTATCCACTATTATATAGTAAATAGACATCTGACATGCAAAACTTTGAAAAATACTTGAATATTATAAAAGCTAAAGTTCAACAAAAATGTTTTTAATTAAACCATAACAGTAGATAAAAATAAAAAAGCAATTTAAGAACTGAAACTGCACAGAACTCCAGGACTTAATGGTACCTTTAAAATATACAGTACTTACTTATTTATTAAACTCTAGGTTGCATGATTCCATGATTGTGGGTGGCTTCATATTCACAATAGCTATAAAATTGGCAATAAAACCCAGAGTACCTGGAGGGAGCAGCAACCAAGAATCTTGTCCCAGATTAGAGACAAGAGCAGACAAAATGCCTACACAATCATATTAACCTATAAGTGACAGGAAAACCACCAGATATTTAACTATTGAGATATTTAAAGAGATATTTAAATAATTATTGCAATTATACACTAACTACTATGAACAGAAGATAAGCATGCCTTTTTCTTTTGGACATAAGATGTATTCCTGCAGCCTTGTGACAGCTTCTTAAAATAAAAGCTTGTTTAGTGTCCAAAGATGGATGCTATCCAAAAGTGTAACTATGTATCCATCAACTTCATGTCCCTGACAAAATGTTCCACAAGCATAAATTCTACACATTATAGATTACTACCTGAAAATAAAAAAAAATCCAGGTCAAAATAATCCATGTTAGATAACAGCAGTTGCTGTTTTCTCAGAGATTGTTATTTCATATCTCATAGGTGACTGCAGGTTACAGCTGAATGGCCATATTTTTATCAATGTAAATATTTGAATTACAATTTCAAAAATTTGACAATTTATTGGAATGTTCCAGCATTACAATGTTGTATTTTTCAATATATTTTTACACTTTAAGAGAATGTGATGAAAAACATTATATTCTGAATTTATAATGTAAAACACTTGTGAAAGAAGGCTAAAATCTAAAATGTACAATATAATCAATGAATTACTTCACAAATTAGAAAACATTACCTTAATTCTTAAGAACAGATGAAAAAACTGCAGTGAAACTACTGCAATGAAATTAGGGAATTGAGAATTCTTTTATGATAGAAATGTAGTTTTTAAAATGTTTACTGGCTGTATAAATTAATAGTAATTTCACTAGCAGTACTCCTTTGGCATCTTCATATTTGGTGTGATTTTCTATGGCACCACTTCTGGTGTGGTGTTGGTTCACAATAATGCTAGCCCGCACACCGCTAGACTCACACAAGAACTTTTGAAGCAGTTCCGTTGGGATGTTTTTGATCCCCCCCCCATAGCCCAGATTTGGTGCTGAGCGATTACTACTAAGGAATTTCAAACCTTGTAAGATGTTATGACAAGTGCCTCAATTTGAATGGTGGTTATGTCAAAAAGTAATGTAATGTTGCAGTTTTCTAATGTGTATAATAAAAGTTTTGTATCTGCAAGTGCCTGTCACTGATAACCAAATGGAGGTTTATTTCCGAATTGCCCTCACGCTATACTTGTTTCTAACTGTACCCATCAAACCTTTATTAAATCATTATTATGGCCTTTGGACAAGAAAGATATATGGTATATTTGGTTTTCCTAGGAAGTTAAAACACACAGACAAAAACAAGAACCTTGGGGTTATTGTGGTATTTCCACAATGTTAGAAAAAGAGAATTGACTGTCAACAAAAAAATTATAGTAGCCTCTTTGCCAAGGCATTATGAATATTTATATTTCAGGAATCCTAGCTGGTTTGAAGTAATAGTTATGAGAGTTAGCAATAAATATGCATGATGAACTCCAATTAGAACTACAGAATCATAAAGGAGGATACAGAGGTCCACCTGCTGAGGAATTTGCTGGTTTTCTGGAAGACAAAATTGCTCAGCTTCGTTCCCAGTTAGATGCCAGCGTGGTAGAGGGACCTGGGGCAGATCCTGCCCAGTTATCTGGGAATTGTTTGACTCTGCTGCTACTGAGGAAGTGTACAGGTTCTTAGGGAGTATGCATGCAAGCATCTGTGTTTTAGACCCATGCCCCTCCAGGTTTGTGAAAGCTTCCTGGGAAGTGACATGTGGGTGCTTCCCTGCAGTAGGGAGTAGTGCCCTAGCATTTTAAGGATGCTGTTGTCCTCCCTCTTCTTAAGAAGCCGCTGGATTCCACCCTGTCGGATAATTTCCAACTTGTCTCCAATCTTCCCTTTTGGGGGAAGGTTGTCGAGTAGGTGCTCCAGAGGTTTCTGGATGAAACGAATTGTCTAGAACCTTACCAGTCAGTATTCAGGACTGGATATGGGATGGAAATGGCATTGGTCGTGCTTTTTGATGATTTCTGGTGGGAGCAAGATGGAGTAGTGCATCCATCCTTACTCTACTTGACTTCTTGGTGGTCCAGAAGGATACCCTTGTCCATGGTATCCTTCTGGAACGGTTTTGAGAGTTGGGAGTGGGGGGGGGGACTCTGTGCTGTCCTGATTCACTTCCTTCCTCTATGGCCGACCTTAGTTGGTGTTGATAGGAGGTGAGAGATCCAGCCCTTGTCCACTGCTTTGTGGGGCAGTCTCTTGGTACTCTCTCTGCTTCTGTTTAATATCTATATGAAGCTGCTGGGTGAGATCATCCATCACCATGGACTGATATATCATCAATATGCTGATGATATTCAGCTATCTCAGCCCATCATGAGTTAAGTAATGCCGTGACCTCCTTCTCACTATGCCTGGAGGTTGTTAGGGGCCGGATGGGGAGCAACGGGCTGAAACTGAACCCTGGCAAGATTGAATGACTCTGATTCTGGACTTCTTTAGTCCATGGACAATTGCCACCTTTGGTTTTGAATGGGATGGCGCTGCCAATGTCTAATCTGGGGGTTCTCCTGGACTCATGACTCCTATTTGAGGAACAGGTGGCAGTCATGGTCAGGAGGGCCCTTCAGCAACTGCACCTTGTGTTCCAGTTACGTCCTTTCCTGGACCAACAATCCCTATTCATGGTCACTCACACTTTAGTCACCTCCTGCCTTGACTATTGCAATGCAATCTACATGGGGATGCCATTGAAAAGCATCAGAAGCTCCAGTTAGTTCAAAATGGAGCAGCCTGAAAGGTTTTGTGCAGACCTCGGCATGCACGTGTCACTTTTCCTGAGGGAGTTGCACTGGTTGCCAATTTGCTTCTGGGTGCAATTCAAGATGCTGGTTGTCACCTTCAAAGCCTGGCTTGGGACCGGGTTATCTGAGGGACTGTCTCTTGCCGGTCACATCCACCTGACCCACCAGAGCAGGGAGGCAAGGAATGTTGCCGGTTCCATCCCTAAGAAGGTACATCTGGCAGGACACAGAAGAAGGGCCTTCTCCATCCTTCTCCTTCCCTTTGGAATATCATCCCTTCAGAAATTAGATTGGCCCCCACTTTGACACTCTTTTGTAAGGCCCTGAAGACTTGAGATTGCCAGAGGCTTAAGGAACTCAGAGTGGGACAGAGCCCATCAAATGGCTCATTTGATTATGTGCTGTTGCTGGGAGCTGGTGGGTTTATTGTTCTTTCTTTATTTTTTATTTTATTTTACTTTCTATACTGTGTTTTTATTGCTTGTGAGCTG